TTCGTTTGTTTTCACCGATTATTTTTGTGCTTTTGTTCTTCATAGGCACATTCTGCTTTCTCTATCACCGGCGACGATACTTTATTCCGACAAACCCACATTTTGAAGGTTAGTTTTCGTTTTCGTTTTGAAGAACTTATTTGTTGAACTTGTTTGTTGTTGGTTATTGTTTTTTGTTGTTGATACTACATTCATAGTTCTTGCTTTATAAAATACCAAAAACTGAAATTTATTGTTTTTCTGCTTTTCAGGTTGTAAAAAAGGACCACAATTAATTAAAAAAAAGAAAAAAAAATTGATTAANAAGAACTAAGAAAAAGAAAGAACTTAATTTCAGTGCTTTTTAACTATAACGCTAGTATTTTTTATAATCAAATATCAAGATTTAACTTTTCTAATAAAACATCCATAAAATATTGTAATAAAATAAATGCATTAAAAATTTTATAACTACAGTTAAAAATGACATGATTAAGCAAATTTGAGACATTCATTCATCACTCCTAAATCCGCTCCGGTTTTAATGCGGATAATCGCGTTAGAAAAAAGAAAAGAAGATAAACTCTTAAAAAACAAAAATAATCTAAAGCCGCGTTTAAGTACGTTGACAATGTCGCATTCGTTCACTTTGTGTTGTTAATCATACATGAAAGCATGGCCATTGGGCCCTCGGAAGCTAATAGATTAAGTGTAATCCAAAATGAAGATAAGAAAATGATTCAAAAGTAGCTTTTTTTTCACGTGAATCCAAACACGCAATCACTCTTTTCCGCTTTTGTTGTAATCAGACAGAAATGTTTCCATTTCATTTTCACACCACTTCATTCAATTCAATTCCCAACGACACCTTTTAACATCGTAATAGCTGACTTTATCAGATAAACAGCTATTTACCTCTCAGTCCTATATTATTATTTCCTTATACTAAAAATAATAATTATTAAATAACAACCAATTTTAAAAATAAAAAATAAATAATTATTATAATAAATTTATAAATTAAAAATTATTAGTATCTAAAATAGTCTATCCATAATTTAATTTGAAACTATTTTCTTTGTAACTAAATTCTTAGGAGTTAATGCTATAAATCAATTTATACTTTATTTCAAAAATCAATTATAATTTTTTATTTATAATAAAAATTGTTTTATATATCAATAATTTTTAGTTTATAAATTAATATTTAAATTAATCACTAATGATTCATTATTTTTAATATCTATTGTTATTTAATGATTTTCTTATAATATTTATATATTTCTATGCACACTTTTATATTCATAGATAAATATCTATTTATTTATAAAGTTAGATTAAATACTTGTAAATGATCTCTCTTTTATAAATGAGATTTGTTAACTTATGTACGCTCTTTTTTTTAGTTGGTATATTTTAGTAATGTGTACCGGTTTTAATAGACAAAAATATCTTTGTATATTATGGATTCTAAGTTTTAAAGTTAAGGATATTTGAATAATTTTCATCCTCAAAACTAAAAATAAACAAGAAACCCCGAAACTCTTACTCACTTCCCTCATTCCTCTCAACCCTTTATCTTTCATATCTCTCACTTCAACATTTTCTCTATCATCTTTACGGTAGCCCCAACTGAAAAAAATATCAGAAACACTTGTTGTTAAACAATTTCTTACAAAAAATGATTTTATAACGTGTTTTCATTTTATAATTTTTGTCTTATCTAATTTTATCTAATTTTCACAAGCATAATGACATTCAAATGAATTGGTAATTGGCCTGGAAAAAATCAGAAACACTCATTGTTAAACAATTTATTACAAAAAATGATTCTGTAATGAGTTTTCATTTTATAACTTTTGTCTTATCTGATTTTATCTAATTTTCACAAGCATAATGACATTCGAAGAATTGATAATTGGCTTGGAGGGTTTTTGTAGAGATGATGATTCAACATTTGTAGATGATGAAATTAGAGAGTTTAGTGAAGATAATGAAATTGAAGAGACTTGAATGAATCTTTGCTTGAAGGCGAATATGCCAATGACTCAACTCTCTACAAAGGCAAATTGTTTAACAACAAGTGTTTTTGATTTTTTCAGTTAGGGTTATAGTAGGGATGATGGAGAAAATGTTAGAGGGAGAGAGATGAAAGAGAAAGGGTTGAGAGGAATGAGGGAGGTGAGTAAGGGGTTGAGGGTTTCTTGTATTTTTTTTTTAGTTTTGAGACTGAAAATTATTCAAATACCCCTTGACCTTAAAACTTCGAATCCATAATATATGAGGATATTTTTGTCTACTAAAACCTGGTACACATTGCTAAAATGTACCAACTGAAAAAAGAGCGTACACAAGTTAGCAAACCCCTTTATAAATAATTCAATAAAGATTGATAAAATAACATAATCATTCTATTAAATCTCATTAAAATATAATAAGAAAATTTAATATTTAACTGAGCCTATATAAAATTCATACAATTTATTTGTTTTAACTTTGAAATTTATTTGTTTTAAATTTGAATTTTAGATATTATTATTTTACAACCAATTTGTTAAAATTATAATCCAAATAACTTTATAGTTTTTATAAAGATGGATTAAATTTATGTGGATACGATACTTTGTATTACAATTGAACTAGTGTATTTGCTAGTGTGATTGCTCTATTTAGAGATGATGAGATAAAGGGATCCTACACAGTTGGGCACCTCAAATGAAGAAGAATAGCATAAACCATGACGAGGCAAGACTTTGAGTTGATTCTTTTATCTTGAAAGAAGGAGTTCAAGTGGCAACTCTACACTTATCTTATAAGAGTCCAAGTGGCATGGATCAAATGCACTTCTTGTACTTTGGTGAAGAAAATTCAAGTTTTCCTTTTGAGTTCTTTTAAGAGACTTCAACCACAAAAGTGTCTTTTACCTTTAATTGTAGTCACAATTCATTTCCACAAATTATAATCCTACATATCACTAGTACAAAAACAGCGTATAACGTCACGCGTTTATCGTCTAACCATTGAATAGCCAATGTTAAAAATGATCGGTGACCTTTTTGTAAATAAATGCAATTATTAAACGTCGTTTAGAATTGTAATTCGACGTAAAAAGGATATAAAACGTCGAATGCCCCAGTGTTAGACGTCAAAAGGTTAGTGAATTCAATAAAAATTTGAGCGGGAGATTGAAAATTCATTCACTTTATCTTAGCGCGCGATACCCTCTTCTCTTCTCAAACTTTTCTCGAACGAAGTTTGACGACCATCACATGTAATCTTTCTTTCATTTTATACAAATGCATTTTATTTATGATTTTCGTTTGTTTTCACCGATTATTTTTGTGCTTTTGTTCTTCATAGGCACATTCTGCTTTCTCTATCACCGGCGACGATACTTTATTCCGACAAACCCACATTTTGAAGGTTAGTTTTCGTTTTCGTTTTGAAGAACTTATTTGTTGAACTTGTTTGTTGTTGGTTATTGTTTTTTGTTGTTGATACTACATTCATAGTTCTTGCTTTATAAAATACCAAAAACTGAAATTTATTGTTTTTCTGCTTTTCAGGTTGTAAAAAAGGACCACAATTAATTAAAAAAAAGAAAAAAAAATTGATTAACGTCGTATATTAATAAAATTCGACGTTAAGTTAACGTCATATATTTACAAAATTCGACATTAATTGAACGTCGAATTTCAAAAATTCGACGTCAATTTAACGTCTCTTAATATGAGGTCGTTCGCGAATTAGCCATTAAAAGCCCAAAATATTCGATGTTGTACGCGATTTTTGTACTAGTGTATGTTTATTACTTGTTATATCAACTTGTATCAAGAGATCATCATCAACCCTTAGATAATCCAATTCATCACCCTTATCCCTTAGATTTTCAAAGATCATCTCTACACTTTATACCTGAATCTATCTCTGGTTCACACATTTTTAAGTAAATAATTTGATTACTTTAAATTCTCACAATAAAAACTATTGTGTATAATCCAAAAACTCTATTATGTTAGTTGTTTCTGTTATACTTCTGTACAAGCCTATATAAGGCAACACTGCTTCTAATGAGAATTGCTTAGTTCTCTTATTTTGCACTCTCACTACTATTCTTAATTCTACATATCTCATTCCCTTTCTGCCACTCAAAAACTCTCATATCATCATCCTGCTCTTTGTCATCCTTTCTCACGCTATCAGTGGTATCAAAGCAAGGTTCGATCACCTGGTGTATCATCGAAAAATCAATAACTCATTAACTGAAGAAGGGTTCATGTTGAGAAGTGATGGCGGGGATAATCCAGAACAGCTTGCCGGTGTTCGATGGTAAGAATTATGATGATTGGTGTGTGAAGATGGATGCCATCCTTGGATTCCAAGAAGTTGACGAAGTTCTAAATAAAGGTTTTAAAGAACCCACAAAGGGGGACTTGGAAGAAGCAAAGAAAACCTATAAAGAAAACAAGAAACTGGATTGCAAGGCACGCATGCTGCTGCACCGGTGTGTTTTTTCGACAATTTTTCAGAAAGTGTCAAAAGCAGTAACAACCAAGGAAGCTTGGGACATATTACAAGATGGATATGGGAATTCAGGAAAGGTTTAGAAGGTTAGACTACAGTCGCTGCAGAGGCAATATGAGCTCTTGAGTATGGGAGAGCAAGAAACCATTGAAGAATATGTTGACAGAATTCAAGTCATTGTTAACACAATGCAGGCGTGTGATAAGGTGGTAAAAGATAAGAATATCGTTGAGAAAATCTTGAAAACGCTGACACCCAAGTACGATCACATTGTTGTGGCGATAGAAGAAAGCAAAGATTTGGAAATGATGAGAGTGGAAGAGTTACATAACTCTCTTGAAGCACATGAACAACGCCTGATCGAGAGAAGAACGGTAGAAAAGAATGCAATACAAAGTACGAATCAAGCACTGCAAGCTAAGAGCAGTCAAAATTTCAAGAATCGTGGTACTGAGAGAGGTATAGGATGATCGCGTGGTGATAGAACTAGAGGTAGAATGATTAATTCTACTAAGCAACTCAAAGACGAAAGCGGCAACGAACAAAGAGAAGGAAATAGTAGAGGTGGAAGAAAGTCCAGAGGAAGAGGTAGAAAGAATTACGATAAGAGAAATATACAGTGTTTTACATGCAATAAATACGGACACTACTCATCTGAATGTTGGCACAATGAGACTGCTAAGAAAGGTAAGAATGATGAGGCAAATCTAGCGAAGGAAGATTGCAAATCGGATTCAGACCATGTGTTACTGATGAGCGTTGTAAGGCATGATAAAAACATAGAAAGCTGGAGACCCCCACAGGTGATGTGTGTTCAAAAGACAAAGGAGGTGACAGACAGATGTCAGAGAAAGACAAGGCAGACAGATTACGTGTCGCTTGCTGGAAAAACATGCCATGCAGATGATGAAATCTCGTGGTACCTGGACATGGGCTGCTCCAACCACATGACAAGCAAAAGGGATTGGTTACTCGACTTGGATACGAGCATAAAAAGCACAATACCTTTCACGGATAACAACATTATCAAGGCTGAAGGTTCTAGAAAGGTGGTGATTACGCGTAAGGATGGAAGAGTTGCGTACATACAATGTGTTGTACGTCCCAACTATGAAAAGCACCCTCTTGAGTCTTTGACAGCTTCTGGAGAAGGGGTACACTATGACGATGCAACAAAAGCATATTGAAGTGTTTGATGAAAAACAACGGTTGGTGCTCAAGGCCCCCCTTTCTCGAAAACGAACTTTCAAGGTAAATTTAAATGCAACAGAGGTTCAGTGTTTGGTTGCAACAGGTGCTGGAGAAGAAGAGTGGCTATGGCATTATCGCTATGGACATTTAAATTTCAGGAGTTTAAGTCAATTGAAGGATAAAGATTTGGTGAAAGACGTTCCCACGATTGTTACACCGAACAAGATCTGCGAAGGATGTGCTGCAGGGAAACAACCCAGAAAAGAATTCAGGAAAGCTGTGAATAAAAGGGCCAAGCAGCCTCTATAAGTGGTCTGTTTTGATGTGTGTGGGCCGATTGATGTGCAAACACTTGGAGGTAACAAATATTTCCTTCTCTTTGTTGATGAATACACTAGAAAAATGTGGGTTTACTTGCTTAAAGAAAAGAAGGAAGTTTACGCATATTTCCTTAAATTTTGTGCCATGGTGGAGAGACAAATGACACTGAAGATCAAGACATTCAGAACAGACGGTGGTGGAGAATTCCACTTGAGGGAGATGAATGAATTCTGTCAGGACAAGGGAATTGTGCACAAAGTGATAACTCCATATACACCTCATCACAATGATCTTGGTGAGAGGAGAAATAGAACTTTGTTGGATATGACGAGATGCATGATCAAAGGGAAGAATCTGCCACGTTTCCTATGGGGAGAAGCTGTCTCCACTGCAGCTTATCTACTCAACAGGAGTCCAACAAGAGCTCTGGAAGGCACAACACTAGAAGAAGCTTGGACAAGATTCAAACCATCGATAAGTCACCTGAGGGTCTTCAGATCAGTTTGCTACAAGCACGTGCCAAATGAAAAGAGGAAGAAATTGGACGATAAAGTGAAGTTTTGATTCTAGTTGGCTACCATTCAACTGGTGGGTACAAAATATTGTATGATCCTGAGAAGAATCACATAGTTATTAGCAAAGATGTGCTGGTTGATGAAACTGCCACGTTCGACTGGAATAAAACAGAAGTTGTGGCGAAGCCAAGTTTTGTGGTGTCTAGCTATGTGGATGAGAAGAAGTCTGATGAAGTCGAACAAGCTGATGCAAGTTTAGAGAACAACAGTAGAAGATCACAACGAGTAAAGTTTCCCTCCTTAAGGCTTGTAGATCATGAGATCTTCGCTGACAATGAAGTTGTAGACTCAGGTGATCTTATTCACTTCGCCTATCTTGTTGATGCTGAGTCTCTCTCTTGGGAACAAGCTGTCAACGTGAAAGAGTGGAAGGAGGCCATGATGGAGGAATTGAAAGCTATAGAAAGAAACCGGACTTGGAAAATGGTAGAACTTCCATAGAATAAACGAGCCATTGAAGTCAAGTGGGTGTTCAAGACTAAGTACAAACCCGATGGAAGCATTGCAAAGTTGAAGGCTAGGTTGGTGGCAAAGGGTTTCTTGGAGAAACCGTGAATAGACTTTACTGATGTCTTTGCACCGGTTGCTCGACTAGAAACTGTAAGACTGGTTGTTGCAGTGGCAAACTTGAGAAGTTGGAAGATCCACCAAATGGATGTCAAGTCAGCTTTCTTGAATGGATCATTGGAGGAAGAAGTTTTTGTCAGACAACCACATGATTTTGTGAAGAAAGGTGAAGAACGGAAGATGTATAGGCTATACAAGGCCTTGTATGGACTCAGGCAGGCACCATGGGCATGGAACAATCACATAAATGCATTGCTTCTCAGAATGGGATTTCAGAAGTGTGCAGTAGAATTTGGGGTATATGTAAAATCACCCAAACAACAAGGCACCTTACTAATATGCTTATATGTTGACGACCTCCTTGTAACTGGATATTTTGAGGAGGAAATCGCAGAATTCTAGAAACGAATGAAAGAGGAATACGATATTGACAGATCTTGGCTATTTGACTTATTTCCTCGATCTGGAATTTGTTCAGAATGAAGCCGGAATCCTGATTCATCAAAAGAGATATATTAATGAGATTTTGAAGATATTTAACATGCTAAACTGCAACGGAACCTCAGTTCCTATTATGGCAAACTTGAAGTTGTCCAAGTTCGAAGAAGAAGAGAAGGTAGATGCAACTCTATTCAAACAAATTGTAGGATCACTCAGATTCTTATGTAATACAAGACTAGACATAAACTTTGTAGTTGAGTTGGTGAATAGATTCATGAGTGATCCTAGACACACACACCTCACCACTGCCAAGCACATCCTATGATACTTGAAAACAACAGTAGATTTTGGATTATTTTTCCTAAAGGATCCGGTAGCATGGAGAAAGTCTTGGAGGCCTGGAGTGACTCGGACTGGTGTGGTGATCAAGTGGAGAGAAAAAGCACACATGGCTATCTATTTAAGTATGGAGGAGCATCAATATCCTGGTGTTCAAGAAAGCAGAGTGTTGTAGCCCTCTCCTCGTGTGAAGCGGAGTATGTTGCCTCGGCTGAAACTGCGTGCCAAAGTGCTTGGCTGGAGGCTGTCCTTGATGAGTTGCAGATTGAATACAAGAAACCAGTACAACTTCTTGTGGACAACAAGTCGGCTATCAATCTCTCAAAGAATCCAGTCTCTCATGGCAAAAGCAAGCACATAGATACCAAATTTCATTACTTAAGAGATCATGTTAGCAAAGGTAAATTGGAATTGAAGTATTGCCCCACTGAAGAGCAAATTGCAGATATCTTCACTAAGGCTTTGAGACAAAGCAGATTCGAAAGTTTGAGAAGCCTTGTTGGTGTTAGAAGTTTGAAAAGTTTGGATTAAGGAGGATTATTGTGTATAATCCAAAAACTCTGTTATGTTAGTTGTTTCTGTTATACTTCTGTACAAGCCTATATAAGGCAACACTATAAGGCAACACTGCTTTTAATGAGAATTGCTCAGTTTTCTTATTTTGCACTCTCACTGCTATTCTTAATTTTGCATATCTCATTCCCTTTCTGTCACTCTAAAACTCTCACATCACCATCTTGTTGTTTGTCATCCTTTCTCACGCTATCAAAAACTAACTATTTCTAAGTAGCTCACTTTTTTATAAAAGGAACTTTATTTCACTACTTTAATGTCATTAAAATAATTCTCACCACAAACTTCTTCTACAAAAGAGCTTATGTAATCACATATATCAAGTTATGCATATAAACCAAATGTAAACAAATAAAGTTACGTAGCTCAAAAAATTTGACAACATAACAACTATAACACAAGCATCCTAAAAATTGAAACAAAATAAAAATAACAATTATAACATCCATACCATCAATTAAAATCAAATCAAATTCAATACAAACAATTGTTGGGAGTCAAGCTCTCCAAACTTAGCTAAAGTTGTATTCCAATGATAAATAAGTTAATAATCATTAGTCTTTTATATAAAGTTTATCATACAACCAATTTCCATAAATATTACCATAACCTAAATTATAATTGAAGTTATAATGTATAACAATATGATGCAAAATAAGCACAACTCCAAAAATGAATGACTCTTAATCTTTCAATAAAACTATAATCAAATACAAAAGTTTGTTTATTTCATAAATATAACTCTATTTTAGGTTAATTTTGAATCTAATTTTATGTTTTCATATTTAAGTAATCCATTTCTATCCTCTAAACTATCTAATTATAATTCTACGTTATTGTAAAAGTGTAAGAAAATTTCAACACTCATGATGGAATAGGTTTTAAGTAATAAGTTTAAACGGTGAAAATAAGCCCCCTTATCTCAAAGAGGTTTTAAATAAAGCATATAAAACGATTACAAAGCAATCAGAATTGGTGTATATTTCGTTCTTCTTTTTTTATTAATGACATTTTCCTTGAACTAACAAGACCAACAACACTTAACTCATCTAAAATATTTTATGACTCATTTTACTTATAATTAAATTAGTGAGAACTTCCCTGAGACTTATATTTTTATTTTCACTTCTTAACTCAATTATGCTTTAATATTTATTGGACTATACTTTTCATATTTAAATTAATATGTTTCATTTAATTTTATCTTACTATTTCAAGAGTCTTAAATTACACTAAAAGAGAAACTTAGAAATTTCAATAGGTACATACACAAAAACACACTACATTCTTAAAACAAGGTGTTACCTATATTTACTTTTCTTGGCTTTGGCTGACCTTTATACATTCATACCTAAAGTGTTTAAACTTCTTAAACTCGTGGCAAACGACTTATGCTTTCTTAGCTTTCTTATCTTTGATCTCCTATTTTTGTTGAACCTTTCTTCCTCTAAAATCTCCTTCTTCGTTTTTCATATGTGGTGGATTTTGCATGAGATGAAGGAAATTTCATCATTTACTTCAAAATTAACATCATTTAAAGATTTTTCTTTAGGTTCTTNTAAGCCCCCTTATCTCAAAGAGGTTTTAAATAAAGCATATAAAACGATTACAAAGCAATCAGAAATGGTGCATATTTCGTTCTTCTTTTTTTATTAATGACATTTTCCTTGAACTAACAAGACCAACAACACTTAACTCATCTAAAATATTTTATGACTCATTTTACTTATAATTAAATTAGTGAGAACTTCCCTGAGACTTATATTTTTATTTTCACTTCTTAACTCAATTATGCTTTAATATTTATTGGACTATACTTTTCATATTTAAATTAATATGTTTCATTTAATTTTATCTTACTATTTCAAGAGTCTTAAATTACACTAAAAGAGAAACTTAGAAATTTCAATAGGTACATACACAAAAACACACTACATTCTTAAAACAAGGTGTTACCTATATTTACTTTTCTTGGCTTTGGCTGACCTTTATACATTCATACCTAAAGTGTTTAAACTTCTTAAACTCGTGGCAAACGACTTATGCTTTCTTAGCTTTCTTATCTTTGATCTCCTATTTTTGTTGAACCTTTCTTCCTCTAAAATCTCCTTCTTCGTTTTTCATATGTGGTGGATTTTGCATGAGATGAAGGAAATTTCATCATTTACTTCAAAATTAACATCATTTAAAGATTTTTCTTTAGGTTCTTCTACTTTGAGTTCCTAAGCTGAGGTGAACATGGAATGATAGGCTCTAACAACAATAATCTTTTAATTCTTGATCACACTATCTTATTCTTACACACCTTTAAGATCCCAATGAGCTTTTCGTGAAACATGTTTTTGGGCTTTGGATTGTTCTAATGGTTATGACCCGTGGTTTCCATAAGAACTTACCCTAAGAGATATGTTGTGATACCAATACTAGTATAGATGAGGCTTTTAACAATGGTTAAAAAGGACTTTCAAGGACAGTTATAGAACTATCGTTAATCCAACTGTCATCATCAGTCTTCCTTTTTAACGATAGTTAAATGACAATCATCATCATTTGGTATCAAACTAGCAATATTGGCGACTAATGATGACGTTGTTTAATAATTCTTTTTAACGTTGATGGTTTAATGAGCAACTAATAGAGCGGTGTTGACAAATGGCGGTGACTTTGAATGGGTCAACAACTACAAGCTTCTATAGCGATGACACAAAGAATGGTGAAGGAAGAAACCACTCCATGCAAATGCAGGGCGAGCCTATATAGAAAAGCAACAACCTTGGTGGCAAGATGGTTTAAGAGCCTTAGTGATACGAAGATCGACAAGCTTGAAGGTGCCACATGTTACGAGCTTGAAGGGCAATAAACATACAAATACTATATAAAAGTTATATAAATGATAATCAACAAACAAGTGAGATAAACATACAACTATTATATTACAATCATCCATAAAGCATGTAATGAGTATAGAAAGTTATATATACACACAAACAAAAGCTAGAATTTTTCAAAAGATAAAGGATTATACATAACAAAAACTAATGCTACTGCATCTCCCTTACCCTACACCAAATCAACTTCAAACATCTTCATCTGCTCACACCATTAAGGTGATCATTACAAACAAGAAGGACAAATAGACAAACAAACAAAAAAGAAATGGTAAGCCAATGTACCAAAAAGAGAAATCATGCAACATTAATAAAGATATTAACACACGTAGACATTCATATCAACAAATCCCAAAACATGCAAGCATTCATTCCAGAGTTCACCATCCGAATACATGTATTGATATCAAACTCTGATGAGTTATGCACTTGTGGTCGCCTCTACTGCTTTGAAAAGTCATTGTCAATGGGTTTCACCCTACCACACATAAGATTAGTTCGTTAACGTCTTTGGCCAAGGTAAAACCCTTAGATTAGGACATCTTACTTCTCTCACCACATACCCCATCCTTCTCATATTATAAACCAACCATTAGTACCAACATTCATATATCATATTATAAACCAATCATTGCTATAACATTTACATAATCACACATATTAAACACATCATAAGAGATATATGCAAATTTAGTTAAAATTCTAGTATTTTCGCTCAACCACAACATCTACTCGCTCAACAAGTAGTGCTTGACAATACACTCGCTCAACCACCAGATCTGTTCACTTAGCGAGTAGTGCTTGACAATACACTTGCTCTGCCACTAAATCTGTTCACTCAGTGAGTAGTGCCTAACAACATACTCGCCCAACAATCAAATAGTTAGCTCAGCAAGAATACCACCAGAACTTACAAATTTAAATTCTCTCAAAAGTCGTCCAACGAGTATATTCTCGCCCAATAAATTTCAAGTCAGTGACCTCTCTAACTTTTGTCTCGCCTAGTGAGATTTTTCTCATCCAACGACTACCAACTCAATAGCTTTCTAACTTTGTCTTCACCCAACAAATATGTCTCCCTAATGAGTTTGCATAATTCTGCAAAACATAATTCTACATATGCCATTCCAACCTTGCAAAATCAGTCTAACACTTATCACATATGCCAAAACAACTAATTATCAGATTATCCATAATTTAATGACTAAATTCATTTCAAATGCAATCTTAACTATACAACATATCAAAATTTCAACATAGAATACGACTCAAAATTTAAACCTTCATCACTTCTAAAATGTCATTTTTTTAGACTTTTACAAATTATCTAATAAATGACAAATTACTATTTAGACTAGAAACAATTTTTTTTTCATTTGATAAACTTATTAAATATATCAAAACTTGATATTATTAATAAAGCTTAGAATGTTTTTCTAACAAATGTGTAAATTTATATCTAATTGTCTTTGATAAAGTTTACATAATTATTAAGTTTTTGATAAAGTATATTTTGAATAAATTTTGAACTTATAATAAATATATATTTTCAGATAAACTATTTTAATAACAATTTTATACTTTATGTATTATGTCTATTAATATATATATATATATATATATATATATATATATATTCTTACCTAAAATTTTAATAGAAAAATTAGAGATTTATTTATTCTTTTAAAAAGCGCTATAGATTTAAAATATTTCTTAGTTAATAAAAACTCAATGTATTAATGAGGTCAAATGTGTGTTTTTTATTAGTAAAATATTAAAATTATGAAACGTCTGTCTAAGAAATAAGTTATGAATAAGGTAATGATTTGAGGTATTTATTAATTTTAAGATAATCTTGTGAAAAGAAAAGAAAAAATAAAGATTTGGGCAACTTGCCACCAAGAAGCGCGTGAGTGTAGCATCTACCAGGGGGAACGAGTGGTACTCAAATCAATGCATCACAGAAAACATGTTTTGTCACCTCCCACGTTAACACCGTCCTTTTTCTTGTACCCATGTTATGTTATGTTATGCACTGCAAATGCAAAGCAAACCTCGTTCTTCTTTCTATCTGTTATAACTTTCATCCCCACTTTGTTCATAAAAAACTCTGAACACAACAAAGAGTCTCTATTGCATTTCCACAAGCAATTTACCTCCATTCCCAAACACACCCTTCTCCGCAAAACTCTCCCTTTCTCCAAAGCCACCGTCTTTCCCTGCGTTCAATCGTTTATCTTTCTCTGAACTCTGAAAATTTTATACCCTTATGGAAAAGGAACCTCTGCTTCCATATTTCAGCCCCAGAAAGAAGCCCCTGGCATTGTCACCGCTATGTCCCTTGCCAGAGCACGAGGACATGGTTCTTCCAATGACCCCGATGGAATTCAAGGACCGCCTCATCTTTGGTCCTGCTTGTGCTACCCCAAGGGACCCTACACCTTTGGCCGATGCCTTAATACTTCCCCTCAATTCCCCAAAATGTTCCTCTTCTACGTCGCAGGACTGTGCATCGCCATCACGGTTTGATTCCCAGTCGCAACAACCATCCGCTTGGCTCCTTGACCCCAATTACTCCTGGCGGAAAACAAACCTTCATCGCTCCAAAACCGCGCCTGCCATGGCGGTGATCAGCGATTTCAACCCCCAATCCTCTGTGCCAAGGCCGCAATTTGGCAGCCAGAGTATTGTGCGCCAGGGTGTGATTCTTCTTGTTCTTTATTTGGCATTAGGGGTTGTCATTTATTGGTTCAATCGTCATAATTTTTCAGCTTCCGAGACTCATCCTGTAGTTGATGCATTGTATTTTTGTATAGTCACAATGTGCACAATAGGATATGGTGACATCACTCCGAATAGCACAGCCACTAAACTTTTCTCTATATTGTTTGTGTTGGTGGGGTTTGGATTTATAGACATATTGCTGAGTGGGATGGTTAGCTATGTGCTTGATTTGCAAGAGAATCATATGTTGACGGCAGTGAAGGGGAGGAGGGGTGAGAAGGATGGAAAGTCTTATATAATTGATGTGAAGAAAGGGAGGATGAGGATTCGATTGAAGGTGGCGCTGGCGTTGGGAGTTGTGGTGATTTGTATTGGGGTAGGTGTGGCGGTTATGCATTTTGTGGAGAAGCTTGGTTGGTTGGACTCTTTTTATCTTTCAGTTATGTCGGTTACTACGGTTGGGTATGGAGACCATGCTTTCAAGACCATGCATGGCAGGATCTTTGCTGCAATTTGGTTGCTTGTGTCTACTCTTGCCGTGGCTCGAGCGTTCCTCTATTTGGCTGAGGCAAGAGTGGATAAGCGGCACAGGATGATGGCGAAGTGGATTCTTGGTCAGGATATGACTGTTTCTGAGTTTCTTGCAGCAGACATAGACAACAATGGCTTTGTGAGGTATGGACTGTTTCATTTCGATCTCATAAGAAGTCAGTGATTTTTGGCATTAATAGATGTTCTTGTTCATGAAAGTAGAGCACAGAAATGTATTTACCACCTAGTTGTACAAGGCCCCCACCCCATGCATTATGAACCACTTTTTGAAATAGGAATTTAGAAATTGAATGCCTACTGATATCACTCGACTAATTTTCAATTTTTTCACTTACTTTGCTTCTATTTTCTCACTGATTTGTTACAGTGATTGTAGTAGAATTGAGCCTCAATAATCGAATGATTAATTGGTTCTTTTTTTGATTTCTTTTTATTGGCATCATTATAAGCATTTGTATCCAAAACCCATCAGTTGACCTAAAACTGTATATGGTTCCTTGGTAAATTGGACAGCTTGCATACCGTCATAAACTTTGTTTGAAAAAGTGAAACTTGAAAAGGTAAATGGTGGATTAAACCATAAGAATGACAAAAGGGAAAATAGGAAATAGGATGTTGATGGAATTGATCAAACATATCCTTTGCCTAGACTTGCTACCAAATATTCAATAATTCTTAGTGTTAGATAATTCTCTAGAAGTAGTCCCCTTATCATATTCCTTTTAATCGTGATTTATTTTCATAATTATCTAGGATTATGATTATATAAATCAGAGGTATGCTATAGGTTTCATGAACATATTAAATACATCAAATACATTGTAACACATCATTATTTGGTTTCATCATGAGATTAGAGTGGCACCATTCTTCATGATCCGTCCTGTCACTACTTTGCTACTGAGCACTCTAAAATTTGGAGTTATATTTTAATTTCATGATTATCCTTGCAAATTAATTGTCTTTTGTGTTATGTTAACCCTTTTACGTCTTAACACCCTTGCACTATGTTATTCCTTCCTGCTGGTCCAGGCTTCTTCTGTTTGTGTTTTTCATTCCGGTGGTCTCCTTCTCCATCCTAGCTTTCAGCATGCATTTTATCAGCGTGTTTCAGGAATTTTTGACTACTGTGTGCTCCTTCTGGTAGTTCTTGACAATCTATTTTATTGGTTTCTTCCATCACTGTGACATCATGGGCATGCACTAACACCCATGTTTCTCTTCAGACTTTTATCTCATCCTCCACTCATTTTTTCAGAGTGTTTTGTCTTTATTCTGTTAATCTCTTTTATTGATTTCTACTACTGTGATATCTCCAGGATGATATCACCGTTTGTCTTTGGTTCTTGTCTCTCCTCACATGAACTTTTCTGATGTTTTTCAATTAATTTCAAGTCGTCTTTGCCAATCCTGCACAGTCATGTCTGATTCACCCAAGTTCAAACCTCAATCTTTTCAGTAATTTTTGTCATTGTTTGGTTCAACTTCAAATGCATCAAGTACCCCCTTTTGAAGTACGAATTATTAATTCCTAGAGATATTAACTAAGTTTTTGGCATTTACTCCAGTAATATAAAATATGATGTAATTGTTGAGTATGCTCATATCTAGTGGTGCGTAGTATTCATTCATTATTTAGTGCCAGTTCAATTTCTTGGTACATGATTTTACTTCTTAGGCTTCTTCTTGTTGCAAACATCAAATCACAAAACTAGACAATAAAATTCTTAACCAAGAAGTGTGTTTTTTATTGGGCTGTTACAATAATTGGCATGCTTTACCTGCTCAACACGGTGACCTACATCAGTGTTTCCATTTGTGTCTATGTGATGTTTTCCTCATTATGTTAGATTGTACTGAGTTTAAGCTTAGAACCAGATGGCTATAATGTCCATTATTCAATGCCAGTTCCTGTGTTCTTTTGGAATGGAAGTAGAGCATTATGTTGTACTCTATCACCTTGCCTCATAATATTGTTATTGCATCATTCTGGCTCCAGTTGTATCTTGAATCTGGATCAAACTAATTCAAACAAAACTGACATCTATAGTTGTAGTAGATAAGGAGGACGCCTGTGGGGGAAAAATCCAAAGATTTCTACTGTATTTTAAACTTTTTTTGGGTGTGAAAGAAGGGGTAGTTTCCACTTGGGGATTGGTGGCTAGGCTTTTACCATAAGGTGCTTATGGTGGATTTTGAAACCCTGCACTGCAGTAATGTCCATCCACATGGAGTTAAGGGTCCATTTGGTTCAAGAAAACTAATTTTGTTTTCATTTTCTACTTTCCCAATATTTCTTGTTTCAAAAGTTGGAATATGAAAATGTAAAACAAATAACGAAAACAAGAAAGAATAGAAAGTTATTTTTACTCTCCTATGTGAACTTTTGAAAATAGAAAACACAATAAAACAAGGTGACATTTTTCTAATTAAATGTGATAACATAATACATTTTCTCAAACCAAATGTTCCCTAGTTTTCAAACTGAGCCACACCTTGGGGTTTGATATATTTGAAACATGTCCATTCTATACATCTATCTCAATCATTGATACCTGCATGTTACTTATTAAAACCTGAAAGATTTCATGTTAATAATGAGGAATTAACTTATAGTAGTTAAAGCACAAAGGATGTGATGATAACATAAAAAATACGGGCAGAAACTGTGTTCATTCACCTTCTTGTTCTCTGTTGAACTTTGAAGTAGTACTCAATAACTATGACAAAACTTCTGACAGTAATAGCAAGAAGGGTCAATCTTTACTGAATAACAGGGAAGATCTCCCTATGTGAATTATACACGGTCCAGATATGTTGAGAGGTGTCCTTTTGTGAATGATATACACTCCAGATATTTTGATAGGTCTTTGGACCATTCTTCACAATTTATAATTCTGAAAAAGTTCCCTCACATCATTCCATCCCAAAGCTTTTCACCTTGTGCTTACGGGGAAATTAGAGTTGTTCTGAGAGGAAGAATCTGTGGTACTTTTTTTATAGAAGAAAATTAGTAACATAGACTAAGAAGTTACTATTTCTATTAAAATGTTCTATATAAAAAGCATAAATCATATCAGATTACAATCCATTAAGCATAACAACATTAATTGAAATTAAAAACAAAACCACGACAGTCTAACATAAACAATGTAAAAAAATTCTTACTAAATGTGGAACAAATTATGTTTGTCAAACAACTTTTATAGGTACGAGTTCAGCAACTGTTCTCCTTTCCTAAATGGCAGATTCGGTTATGCAATAACTTAGCTTGACTTCTCCTTCTCTTTGCATGTCTCTTAAGAAAATTGACTTAATCTTAAAATGCTTAGTCGTTCCATGAAAAATTGGATTTTAAGGAAGTTGAATTTGAGCCTAATTCAATCTCGCTAACCCAGCTTGTAAGATGAAGTTTGCACCCACTTATATACTATAATTTGACCTTATCTCTATTGAGATCTCAAACACACTTCCTCACGCCGAGAAACAATCATCTTGAGCATGGGAATAGATATTTGTGGGTGTTGTGAGACCAACTAACTTGATAAGGATCTATGAATGACTCTGATATCATCTTAAGAGAATATAATTTAAACTGGTTTTGTGAGGTTGAGTTATACTTTGTTGGAGATCTCACATTGACGGGAGATAAAACGGATTTACAGTATATAAGTGGATTCAAGCCTCACTTTAAAAGCTGATTTTGTAGGGTTAAGTTAGGTTTAAAGTTCATTTTTTAAGATGGTATTAGAAACATCTGAAGCCTATCTTAGTGAAGTTTGTTGGCCTATCGTGCCACCCTCTATTGGGCTGTTATCAGACTACTCATTAATGTCTAATTCCAAGCTTGAGATGTATATGCCTTGGTGTGAGGGGTGTGTGTTGGAGATCCCACACCAACTAGAGATAAGGCGAATTTCTAGTATATAAGTGAGTGCAAACCTCACCTTACAAGCCAGTTTTGTAGGGTTGAGTTAGGCTTAGAGTCTACATCTTAAGAGACTTAAATTATACTTTCTTAAGAGTTTGAAATTTTCATCCTTCATTACTTTGTTGAATTCTCAATTCTTGGATAGTGATATTGCACCTTTGATAATTCTCATGCCTATAATTGGAATGTCATTTACATCATCATTATCAAGGAAATTTGGGATTTTTGGTAGATGCTTTCTTATTAATTCTTCCCATCTCCATTATTGATCTTTTGTGAATTTGGCATTTCTACTCACAAGATTTTTTTCATTTTTTGGTTAGAAATATTTTGTAAACTTTGGAAATGGTGTTGTATAGAATGAAAACTCTAGGTTCGTCTTTCTTGTGAAGTTTGTTCTTTTTAACCTATGGAACATAAGAGAAACAAACACATCCAAAGATTCCCAAATTTTGTAAGTTTGGTTTGTATTTACCAATTTTCAAATGGAGACCTTTAAGTCAAAACTCTAGTTGGCAGCCCATTTAGCATAGTAGTGTAAGCAGCCTATGCCGACAACTTCTGTGAAAAATCCTTCTCAAGTTGCATACAAATTTCCATTTCTATGATGTTTCTATATTTTCTCACTTACACCTTTTGGTTGTGGGGTATAAGGTATAATGAGTTGATGCTCAATGCCAACTTCACAAAATTTATCGAAGGTTTCATTTGCATATTCTTTCTTGTTATGTGATTTCATTGTACACAACCTACATCTACTTTGATCCTCCACCAATGCTTTATGTTTGCAAAATAAATGAGCAGTCTCGGTTTTGGATTTAAAGAGAAAAAATTCAACAAAATTTGGTATAATCATTAATAAGTGTAATATAATGTTTATTACCATTTAGAGATGATAGTCTCTAAGATCCTCCAATATCTGAATGTACTAGTTGCTACTTGTATCTTGCACTTGCAATGTTTGTGTATATGATCTTCTAACTAGCTTGCATATTAACAAGCCACATAAGCAACCCTCTTGTCTTCAAGTATTATCACACCTTTCACCAAGGCATGATTTTGCATGTATAAAACAATCCATCAAGATGAAAACGCTTGAGTCTTTAGTGTCATAATTCAACATTGTTGGTTGTGCTTGAAATAGCAATCTACTCCTCCATCTGATTTTGAGCACAGCTTTTAGATCTCATTGTGACCCTAAATACATTTTATTTTTGCCTTTGATCAAGCACTGATTATTTTGAAATGACTTTAGAGCCCTTTTCAAAAGTTATGCAACACTTAAAAAATTTTGGTCAATGTCAGACGTATATAAAATAGAAAACATCATAGATATATTTCAAACCTGTCAAGCTATCAATAGCAATGGTCCTTTTTCCTTGACTAATGAAATCACCAATGCCAATTTTTACTTTGAAAATTATTGTTATGTTAAGCTCTTTAAAATGATTCTCGTCATTGTAACCATGAGTCACTAGGATTGATGGTTGTGGTAAAACATGTTACGACAAAAAGTTACTCATCATTTTGTTCGTCTATAGTCACCTTAGCTCTTCTTTTATAGACTTGTGCATTTGCTCTCATGTCTCATATTGCCACCTTTTCTGGTTTTGACATTTGGCCTCCCCCAACACATTTTTTGAGGATGGTTTGTCTTTTTGCAATGTGGACACAAGGAGGAAAAGTCTCTCCTTGTTTCTTGTTGGAGCCTTTTGATTATTTTGTTCTTCCATTTGTTATTTTTTGTCTTTGAAACCTCTTGAGTTTTGTGCTTTTATTTGAAAAACACTCTGTACTTGTTAAGAAGTGAACTTTAAGCCTAATTTAATCCTACAAAACCGGCTTATAAGATGAGGTTTGCACCCATTTATATACTCTAAATTGGTTTTATAACTAGTCGATGTAGGACTTCCAACATACACCCCTCACGCCGAGGTATATATCTCGTATGTGAGACTAGACATTAATGGGTGGTCCGATATTGGGTGGAATAATATGCCCAATAAACAACACATTTTGTTAGAATAGGCTTTAAATCATGACTCTGATACCATGTTAAGAAGTGAATTTTAAACCTAACTCAATCCCACAAAATTAGCTTAAAAGGTGAGGTTTGCACCCACTTATATACTCTAAACTGACCTTATCACTAGTCGATGTGAAACTTTCAACACACTTCTATACTATCTCCTCATGTACCGATAAAACATTTATCAATTCTTCAAGGGCAATGGTTGGCAGATCTTTTGACTCCTCCAAAGTGGATATCTTCAATTCATATTTTTCCGTAAAAGTGTCAAGAATTTTTTGAATAGTTCTTTCATCTGGAAAGTCCTTACCAAGAAGTTGCCCTTTGTTTGCTATGCTTAGGAGTCTGTTAGCATAGCCTTTGACGGTTTCTGTATCTTTCATGCTATGCACCTCCGATTCTTTGATCAAGTTGAGAGCTTCGATGCTTTTGGTTCTTTAACTGCCATGATATTTTGATATGAGGTACTCCCAAATGGCTTTGGGAGATTTCAAGTTCATAATTCTTGTAAATATTATTTTTGACACAGCAGAAAAAATGTAACTTTTAGGTTTAGCCTTTCTTGTCTTCATCTCTGAGTCTTCGTTTGAGGATTGGAATTTTAGGTGCCCCAGAAACGTCATAGTGGTCTTCTACTGCCTTCATGGATCTAGTGCTTCAAGATTAACAATCATCTTTGCCGTCCATAATTTGTACTCATCATCAGAAGTAGGTGCGCTGGTTGTGTGTGCTATATCTCCTTCCATTGTTGCTTTTCATAGATCCTCAAGATAATAATTCTAGATGCCAATTTGTAGTATTTTGTTTATAAAAACAGAGAAAAGATGAGTAACGTAGACTGGGAAGTTACTAATATTTTATTAAAAGGCTCTATATAAAGAGCGTAAATTATATCAGATTACAATCCCTTATTTTATGGGCACATCAACTTTAACTGAAATTAAAAACAGAATCATAACAGTCTAACATTTTAAATGTAAACAACTTAAAGAAATTCTTACAAAGTAGGAAACAAACTATATCTGTCAAACAACTTTTACAGGCACGGGTAACAAAATCTTCCACTGGATGATGAGGGCTTTTACTTCTTCTTGATCTCCATACCTAACGT